TATGTTATCATACAATTTTAGCTTGTAACCGAATCAAGATAACTTTGATGATTTACCAGATATGAGTTGTGCCTCAAAAGAAACCATTCTGATCTTAACTACATTTATTACAGAAGATCGTCCAAGTTTGCCATAAACCATATAATTTGGGGCTCATGTCCGACCTGATGTTAAATGTTTTTGAAAACGTAGATGGACATGTTCTATAATAGATAAAGTTTCGAACCCCCATACTTCACATCCATATTGAAGAATTAGTAAGACCATACTATCAAAAAGACAGACTCAATTTACACCCTTGGGCCAAAACATAATACATTGATTTGATTGCTTGCTTCACCAGATTCATCTTCCCGAGTCAAGAGAGTTAACTGACTATAAAAGTCAAGTTACCACCCTTGCAAAACTAGGCTGGTATTATGGAGTTACATTTTGGCTGGACTAACGAGTCTATGCATAGTCCAATTAAAATCGCGCAACGAAATCGAAATCCGGTTCGTAAACTGTCGAGCAGATTTCGGTCGAGTGCATGATTTGCAAAGCAATTGCATCGACAACTTGTTGGCAACAGATATTTTCCAAACCTTTTAATGTTTTTAATCAAGGTGCTCGTGTGATTTGATGTACTTCGCGATGTAAGACCCGTTTTATCACGATATAGATCTTGATGATCGAGCAGATCTTCTTCACTGGGCACCGCCATTTTGTTTGAAACAAATGCGAGTGATGGAATCGGACTGGTCCATAGGAGAGGCTTAGAAGGGACATAACCGGTAATAGCCACTGGTGGCGCTACGATCGAGTCCAGGATTTCCAGCCTAGTTCGGCAAGGGTGGAAACTGGACTTTTAAAGTCAGTAAACTCTCTTACGTCGGGAAGATACACCAGATTCTGTTTTGTAATAGTGAATTTAGAATTCTTCTGCAGGGTGACGCCAAGGTATTTATAGGACTCAACATTTTCCAAAGCATCTTAGACAATTCTAAAAGTATGGTTGTAATCACTTTTGACCCTTAAAAATCATTACTTTTGTTTTTGAAACATTAACCTGAAGCTTCCATCTGTCACAATACTTATACAAAGAGTCTAACATGGTTCGCAAGTCCTGTATATTTGTAGCCATGAGATGGAGATTATATTTTCAATTCTATCACTGAATTCATTTGGTCTTAACTGGACGCCTTTACAAAAGTCGTACAAAAGAGCTTCTTCCAAATCATTTAAAAATATGACAAACAAAAGGGGAGACAGGTTCTCTCCCTGTCTAACACCATTTTGACAAGCGAGGTGAGGTGAAATTGGGTTTAACGTCGCGTCAAAGATTATTGCACTTATATAGCGACGTGCATGCATGTGTGTGTGTGTGTGTGTGTGGCTGCTTGTACTAGTCCGGACTGATGCCAATTTATAGTGCTAGCTCACTGAGATACCATGCCGCAGTTTAACATGAATACCTCACTCAGACACATTATACTGACTCCGAGCCGACCAGTCCTTGTTTTAGCCCCTTAATGCCGAGCGCCAGACAGGGTAACAACAAGCACCATCTTTTAACGTCTTTGGTATGACGTGGCTGAGGATCGAACCCCGGACCATCCGCTCTTCGGGCGGACGCTCTACCACAAGACCACAGAGGCGGTCTTTAAAAGAGAAGAAGCATGTTAAACTGTCATGACACAAAACACATGGCATGACAAGGTGCTGGCTATTGTGACACAAGCAATAAGGAGGACAAGATGGTTGGTGATGTGATTATGACGATCCTTAGGCGAAGTAAGGGTCAACGTAGTGTGTATTCGGGTCTCCACAAGGATGAAAATGAGAGGGAAAATTCATGGCAAGTCAAACTTACAGTGGAACCTCACTGAAGCCAAAGTCGTAATGTAATCAGTTTGTGACATCATGAACAGTTGATGACCGCAAATAGTATGTTACTTGACAATGACGTGATATAGTATATTACTCAGTGATGAAGCGCTGTGACGGAACTGACCTTTTATTAACACTCAGGCCGTTGATCAGCGGCATCAGAGGTACAAACTTATTTGAACAACATAATACACATACATATAAATATAGAATAGATACAAAAACATCTTTGCCGAGCATGCATGCATATTTATACAGATGCACTAGGGTAGAAATATATGTGCAATTCGATAAGGGGGAAAGGAACTTGATAGGTTTAAACATTACCATGGTGATTTTACAGAATTTGGATAATTTTCTCAATGTTCCTAATCGTGAATTATTGAAAAGTAAATTCATTTTATACATATTGGGTTCGACGAAGGAGTATCTGTAAAAAAATGTATTCTTTCGTTTTCTAAAGATGGACAAAAAATAAATAATGGAATTCATCACCTTTGTCAGATAGTTTACAAAGTGGACATATTTTTTCGTTTATTTTTCTCAATCTCCCAGTTTCAATATATAGATTATTGTTACAAGTTCTTAAATTCGCCAAACGTTTTCCTGCAGTATACTGAAGTAATATTCAAAATTTGGCATTTTTATGATCCTGTACATTATGCCTTTTGAGGACACTGATGATCAATGTCTTTTATTGTTTCATGGACTAAATGTTCTAGATAAGTAGGATATTTAAAACGTTGTCAAAACAAGATGTCCAAGCTTGTCAAAAGCTCGTTTGATATATGTAATCCATTTATATTTACATTTTCAAATAGGTTGTCATTAAATAATAACTTGCATAATAGAAAGGATAATTTAGATGATTTCCCGGATAGTTATTTTGCCCCAAAATATATCCTTCTCATTTTAGCGTTGTGTGATAGATGTAGTCTTCCAGGTGTCCCATGTACCACGAAAGTTGAGGTGAGGTGAAATTGGGTTTAACGTCGCGTCCAAGATTATTGCACTTATATAGCGACGTGCATGCACGTGTGTGTGTGTGTGGCTGCTTGTACTAGTCCGGACTGATGCCGATTTATAGTGCTAGCTCACTGAGATACCATGCCGCAGTTTAACATGAATACCCCACTCAGACACAGTATACTGACTCTGAGCCGACCAGTCCTTGTTTTAGCCGCTTAATGCCGAGCGCCAGACAGGGTAACAACAAGTACAATTTTTTAACGTCTTTTTGTATGACGCGGCCCGGGATCGAACCCTGGACTTTCCGTTCTCCGGGCGGACGCTCTACCACTAGACCACGGAGGCGGTCTTTACAAGAGAAGAAGCATGTTAAACTATTATGACACAAAACACATGACATGACAAGGTGCTGGCTATTCGTAAAGATAAAATATCATATGGCTTCAACTTACCAACTGACCAGCATTACAAATTGCAAACATACACATGTACATATATCGGAAAGTTCTTAATTCAATTGGATCATATATTCGGTCATCCATATTGAACAAGTTTTGCTCTCACGAAACATGACCCCCTGGGATGAATAAGTCCAGATTTAATCTTTTTGTCAGTTTGATTGCTGTTTGACGCCGTACTCAGCAATACTCTGGCTGTATGACTGTTGAGTTTTGATTATTACCTCAAGGACAGCCTTGAAAGTGGAGATGGGGGCAGTCGTCTAAGGCGTCGCGATTCGCAGTGCAGAGTTGCGTCCCTTGGGCACGCCAGAAACCTATGACTGTGGGCTCAAATCCCGGTTCGACCCGATTATGTTTCGAGGTTTGTCAGCAGCACACCTGTGCTCGTGGGTTTCAACGAAGTGGTAAACGTCTGATACCTGCATCACTTCGGGCTTTCCTCCCACATTAAGCTGACACGCCGTGATATAACTGGAATACTGTTAAAAGCGGCGTTTAACCCAACTCACTCACTCAAAGTGGGGATGATGTTATCCATACGTTGCTTTAGATTGTACAATCAAACACGGTGAATAGGTTTTTTGGATTGTCTTCGGTTTAGTAACGTTTGTTGCTTGAACGCGTGCTGGAATGTTTTACCCAATGACGTTCCCTGCCAGCTTTTAAAAGTCGACGACAAAGGTAAGTTCTCAGAAACATGTTCCATCACCAGACAAAGACTTGGAGTAAATAAGTGCATTAATCAAATATTTTTAGACGGCACCTCAGAATATGCACGGTCATTTTTAAACACACACACATTTTTTACACATTAGACTGTGTTTACGAGAAGCATTTGGTATATTGTTGAACGTTTCAGCTCACCAATCTGTCATTAGTGGAAGTTATGGTAGTGAGTGAGTGAGTGAGTTAAAATTTAACGTCGCATCAGCATTATTTCAGCCATATAGCGACGAGACCAAGTTAATATATTTTTATTAAAAGTATTATTAAAAACAAGTTGCGAAACCTATTTGAGCATACTATATTTAGAAACAAATTATGAAACATATTTGAGCATAACAATATTATATATACAGTTTTAAAACACGGCCTATAGGCCACCAGTAACCAAAGCTAGGCCACCTCACTGGGGATCATGGGGACTTACAGTACCTCTGCTTCCTGCATGATACCCCAGCAGGATTTACGTCATCACTTTAGCCACTGGTGTTTGTGCACGATGCTAGCCGATATTAAAAAATACTCATCAATGACTTGGCTTAAAAACACTGGTTGATGATAGTTACATTATGACAGGTTTATGTGTAACACAGGGGGGACAATATTTCTACGGTATTTTAACCCCCTGGACAGAGGAAGTAATAGTATCATGCATTTATGTGATGAACGTGGATTACAGTGATAATGTAGATGTCATGATATCGAGACTCAATGCTGGTGCAACTGGTGAAAGGAGGAATTTGCTTTAAAGACGTCAAGCACTTGAGATAAATAATGTCCCCTTCAGCAGTAATATGTGAGTGAGAAGGGTTTAACACTACTGTGAGCACTGGTCGAACATGTCACGGCTGTGGGAGCATCTTGGCAATCGTTCCTCGGGGCTTCGTTGTGATTAGACATCATAGTGCCTCATGTGTTAATCAATCAATTATTAATGTAAGGATGTTATTATATTCTCTTCAAAATATAAAATATACATCAGGATTGCAACTGGGTTTATTTTTCGAGTTTCGATTTCATAAATATTACAAATGGTGGAATGCATAGGTAAATTATTGCTGTACAATACAGGTGCAAAGGGGTAGGTGGAAAGTCAGTGACGATCATGGCCTCCTCGAGCTTCTATCACCTCATGGCAGCGACAGCCCACAGATCCGATCAAAGTCCGAATAACAGCCCGGGGGATCTTCTGTCACTGCTCTAGTGCCACAAAGAGTTCCTGAAGTGCCTGCATGCTGCATGCTTTTCAACTAAGTGCATTTTAAGTGAAATGGAGACAAGTTTTCTCAGAAAATTCTTAACTTATTATATAACTTATATAACTATCTGAGAGATACTTGTCAGATTCGAGAATTGGTGCTGTAAACTATGTTTGATAGAGTTATCGTCCTTTTTCAACTAGACGTTTAAAGATGGTACTTGTTGTTACCCTGTCTGGCGCTCGGCATTAAGGGGCTAAAACAAGGACTGGTCGGCTCGGAGTCAGTATACTGTGTCTGAGTGGGGTATTCATGTTAAACTGCGGCATGGTATCTCAGTGAGCTAGCACTATAAATCGGCATCAGTCCAGACTAGTACATGCAGCCACACAAACACACACACGTACATGCACGTCGTGCAATAGTCTTGGACGCGACGTTAAATCCCATTTCACCTCACCTCACCTCACCTCACCTATTTCAACTTACTGTGTGAAGTGGGGACGTAACTACCTAAGTTACTTGAATGAAGAGATACCCCTATTTAAGGTATATTTAGAAGGGGCCTTCTGTGTGTATTAATTCAAATGGAAATAGTTTTTAACGTCCGATGACATTTTCCCAAAGACAGTTAACCATGATTCTATAACAAATGTTTTTTTCCTGAATATGTAGACAGTTTAAAAATTATATAGATTAAATAAAACAAACATTTAATTTGTTGAATGAGCTGTGTGAGATGTGACGACCATTTGATCTAGAGAAGGCATATGATACAACGTGGAAACATGGTATTTTAAAAGATTTGCATGAATTTGGATTGAGGGGCAGATTAACTGTTTATATCTCAATTTTCAAACAACAGATAATTTCAAGTACGAGTGGGCTCTACCCTGTCTGATCATTTCAATCAAGATCAGGGCGTCCCTCAAGGCAGCTTACTATCAAACACACGTTTCTGCATCAAAATTAATCGTCTTACTAAAGTATTAAAGAATAGCGTTGATGGTTTACTTTTTGAGGACGATTTCAACATGTCTTGTGGTAAGAATATGAATACAATAGAAAGACAGCTAAAGCTCTGTCTTAACAAAATTCAAAAATGGGCGAACGAAAACGGCTTCAAATTTTCTAAATCCAAACGAAACTCTATTCGCTGTTGTCGTAATACAAACCGAATAAGGATCCAGTTTTATTTTTAGATCAAGGTGATAGAAGCGGCCAAATTCCTGGGCCCCACATTTGACCGTCATCTGACATTCTTACCACACATCAAATATCTAAAGGCAAAGTGCCTGAAGGCTCTCGACTTGTTGAAAGTCGTTTCAAATCCCGAGTGGGTAGGGGATCAGACAACCCTACTTCACTTGTACAGATCGCTAATAGTCTCCAAACTGGACTATGGTTCAATTGTCTATGGTGGAGCCTGCAAAAGCAATTTAGAAAAATTGGACACTATACACCATAAAGGCCTAAGGCTCTGTCAGTTTGTATGTGGAGGCTGGTGAACCTTCACTCGAACAGCGTCGCAATAAACTTCACTGCAATACATTACAAAATTGAATTCAAATAAATCAAATCCAGTATACAATTGCGTTTTCCACCCTCAGTATGAAAACCTGTTCAAAATCTTCCCCAACTTGGAATCCGAGTTTAACCACACATCACTGTAGCTAAAACAGATCTAAATATAATTTTAAATATATTATTACTGTTTCAAGTTGATACAGTGTATTCGTACTGTAATAATTCAGTCACGATTAAACACTAAGTTTGCCCACGGTTGAGCCTTTTTAACACGTCCTGTGCCCCATTACGCATTTCCATTGGCCAAAACTTTTTAAGGACAATATGAGCTATTACATCCATCCATATACGAGTATGGTAACTATTCCGTCATTTCGACTTCTTGGAGCAAAATGTATTCAAAATTTAAACATTTCTCATATGCATTTTGGGGGGACTGTCCTAATTTAACCATTGAAAATTTAATAATGAAAATTGAAGAAAATTATAGACACGTGTTGACATAGTGTTTTATAGTTGAAGGGAAGAATATAAACAAAGGCAATTAAACTACGGATTAAAAGGTCAGTAACTTCCTACTCTATCTTGCAGAGAGGACAACCTCATGATATACATTGATGGACAAGAACAGAAGTAGGACATGAAGGTCATGACCCAGTGCTCCAATGGAAATTCAAAGAATTGAATTTTGAAGATTCCAGCTTATGTTTTTGATAAGCTACATACACGATGTGAATGTGAGTATTCAACAGCATGATGACAAAATGATAGAACATTTGATGGACCTTATTATTCGGCATGTTTGCCGGGAAGGATACATGAACATATTCAAAACGTAATAATGCACATGTAAGAAAGAAATGCATACGTGTTAACGTTGAAATAGTGTTACATAGTTGAAGAGGAATATGAATATTTCTAAATAAACCAAGGATTAATAGCGCAGTAACTTCTACTATTTCATTCTCAGAGGAGCACCTAATCATGATATACATTAATCGAGGAGTTCCATACATCTGTAAATCCTTCTGCTTGCAATGTACCTGATGCAGCATGACCATGTAGGTTATTGCCATGGGAATTATTCCGGACCAGATTTTTCGCGTTCTTCGCTCTGAAAGAGAATTAAAAATTGACTTTCACTTCCGATTAGTTCATTGGAGAATGAACCTTTATACAGTGAGGGCCAAACTGAATGAATATTGGAGCTTGGAAGTTTTTGCGCACAGATAGTGTTGTCTAGTAATTGTCTGCAATGGGTCCTTCATGATTAAATTGCTTCGTTAATTATTTGTGGAAAACAACTGACACGGCTGTATGAAGATATTCACTAGGTACGAGGCGACTTTTCAAGGTAGTCGTGTCCATTCACCCATAAATGGGCTTCCCCGTATTGCATATATTTATTAGCACTGATTTATCTCAGGCTAATCGGTCAAACAGACACTGAATCTGTGACATCAATGCAAAACTGGTGAAACGTATTACTCTGTTTATTCACTGACAGTGGAATAAAATACATGTTCTCTTAAAAGGTGAGTCAATTTAGTAAAGCATACGTACCAGTTTTACGAGTTTCGACCCTGGCACGGGGAAAGTTGGAATATCACCAGCTTGTCTCTTCAACGAACTGCTGCTCTGATGACAGTCTAATAAATATAAGCATCCTTTGAGAATAATATAATTCCACCAGGACTATATTGTTCATCAATGTTTTCTTAATGTTATATGTTTATCACGGTACATATAGTTCAATGAATGTGACCAGTAACTGTTACAGCCAACACAATGATTTATATCGTCCAGTCCAATGTAGCAGGGACAAAGGAATTATTACATATTTCGGCTCACGTTCTTCAAATATTGTCGTCTACGATCTACATGCCTTTGGACTTTATACCTGTGATGATCCGGGGTAGAATAGGTCTTCAGCAACCCATATGCATTTTTGCTGCAAAAGGCGACTAAGCTTGTCGTAAGAGGCGACTAACGGTATCGGGTGGTCAGGCTCGCTGACTTGGTAGATGCATGTCATCGTATCCCAAATGCGTGGATCGATACTCAAGATGTAAATCACAGGATTGTCTGGTCCAGACTCGATTATTTACAGACCGCCGTCATATAGCTAGACTATTGCTTGGCGCGGCGTAAACAACAAATAAATTAACAATAAACACTTTGGACTTTAACCCTAGGTTACGCTGACATGCCATGATATACTTAATGTACTAATGTATACATTATCACACATGTTTTGCTTTTGAACGATACCTTATTGAAGTCACAGTGTATCAACATATTGTTGGGACAACACGATAAGTAGCCTGTAATGACAGCCATACTGATAATCGCATTCCAACCTCTTGAACACATTCATTGGTTTTCTATCGGTTGCTGAGGAATGATGCTGAGCAATGATGCTGAGGAATGATGCTGAGGAATGATGCTGAGGAATGATGCTGAGAAATGATGTTGAGGAATGATGCTGAGGAATGATGTTGAGGAATGATGTTGAGGAATGATGCTGAGGAATGATGCTGAGGAATGATGCCTAGAGATGCAGACGCTGATGAGTGAGTGAGTGAGTATGTTTTACGCCGCTTTCAGCAATATTCCAGCATTATCACGGCGGGGGACACCAGAAATGGGCTTCACACATTGTACCCATGTCGGGAATCGACCCGGGTCTTCGGCGTGTTGAGCGAACGCTTTAACCACTAGGCTACCCGACCGCCCAGACGCCGATGACATCGGACAAGAAGGCCATGAGATAAGCTCATTCGACAAGCTTTTCATGTCTCGCATTACTTATCCATTGTTACAGACCTGGTTCATGCAGACCGTTTTTGTACTTTGCAAAATCTTCACTGAGAGTTTGGATCAAACCCTCAGATTTTTCCAGAGCTGAAACAGAAAACAACAAACACATGATGCTGACTTATGAAGCAGCAGAAGATTTGCTGGTTGGTTGGTTTGTTGTTTAACGCCGCACTCAGCAATATTCCAGCTATATGAAGGCGGTCTGTAGCTAATCGCGTCTGGACCAGACAATCCAGTGATTGATATCATGAGCATCGATCCACGCCATTGGGATCGATGACATGCATCAACCAAGTCAGCGAGCCTGACCACCCGATCCCGTTAGTCGCCTTTTACGACAAGCATAGTCGCCTTTTACGGCAAGCATGGGTTGCTGAAGAACTATTCTACCCCGGAATCTTCACGGGTAAGCAGCAGAAGAATTCGATCATAGCAATTATCTTCATAATGGCTTCTGCGTGTACAGCACTTACTTTCCAAATAGATGGGTTCATCCTGTGTCTGCCACAGAGGCATAATCTGCTTCTCAGTGTCTTCAACAATGTCCTCCAGAATTTCCTTCGCTTCACTCATAAAACCATTCTGTAATTTGAAAACAATTAGCTGAATATCTTTGAGCGCATTCATATCCATGTTCACCATTTAAAGGTTTGACACGTAAACCGAAACTGACTTGACACTTTACCAGTCATACAAGTGAATATCCGGGTTAGAATAGCCATCCATGCTTGTCGTTATAGGCAACTATGCTTGTCGTCAGAGGCGACTATCGGGTTTGGGGGTCAGGCTCATTTGATGCATGTCATCGTATCCAAATTGCGTAGGTCGATGCTCAAGAAGTCAATCACTGGTCCAGACCCGATTATTCACCGATCGACGTCATATAGCTAGGCTATTGCTGAGTGCGTCGTTAAACAAACACACTGTTTGGATGATATTAATCACTGGATTGGCTGGTCCAGACTCGATTATTTACAGACCGCCGTCATATAGCTTGAACATTGCTGAGTGCGGCGTTTAACAACAAAACAACCAACCAACCAATCACGGCCCGTGAAGATCCGGGGTAGAATAGTTCTTCAGCAACCCATGCTTGCCGTAAAAGGCGACTAAGCTTGTCGTTAAAGCGACTAACGGGATCGTGTGGTCAGGCTCGCTGACTTGGTTGATGATTGTCATCGGTCCCAACTGCGTGGATCGATGCTCATGTTGTCAATCACTGGATTGTCTGGTTCAGACTCAATTATTTACAGACCGCCGTCATATAGCTGGAATATTGCTGAGTGCGGCGTTAAACAACAAACCAAACCAAACCAAATTGTTTGTCATATGCAAAACGAGTTAATATGTCACCTTCAGTTGACCCAGAGACACTGTGATCTTTTCCTTGAGCTGCTGAAACATGTTACTCTTCAACTGGTCAATGGTGCTTGCCATGAAGGCTTTGATTCTGTTGATAGCCCCGGGACCTTCTTCCTTCATACATTGCTCGTATGCGCTCTGCATTTGTTCCTTTGACAGAAATAGATTTAGTCATAGATTATATATATTTTGACATACAATATAATATATGTAATTGATTAGATACGTTGAGACATTTAAGGACACCTCATTTATATTAAAAAACAGAGGGTCCTGACTTTAAGCTTTAGTATATTTTACACTATTTGTTTATATTTGAGTGTGTGTTTGTTGTTTAACTCAGCAATATTGATGGCGACCTGAAAATAATTAAGTCTGGACCAGACAATCCAGTGATTGATATGAGGAAAAACTATACACGTCATCGGAGTACGATGACATCCAATCAGCCAAGCCACTGAGCCTGACAACACTATCGATTTGGTCGCCTGTTATAGATTGCAGGTAACCTAGTCTAATCTGATATCCCCATGGTTATTTATATTTCTCTGTTCATAAAAAAAACGTATTTGCTAAATGTTAACCTCGAAGCTTATCCTACCTGTATGAAGTCTGTAATCATGTGCGTTACTGCTCTTTGTTGCCTGTCTATTGTTTTCTCCCAGAGTGAATCCAGTCTTGTTAACTGTGAACAGATGAGTATATATTTATCAAGACATTTGGCTACATATGAAATAGGCTATACATAACAACTATGTTATAATTACTATTGTCAACATCAACAATAAATAAATGAAACAAGGTCATGATAAAGACTGTTAAGAAACATAAATGTTGCTATTTTATTAAATCGAGCTAAAGAGCTGGGAAGATCTGGGTAGAGAATAGGTCTTAAGAAACCCATTCTTGCCGTAAGAGGTGACTATGCTTGCCGTAATTGGCGACTAACGGGCTCAGGTAGTCAGGCTCACTGACATTTTTGATGCATGTCATCGTATCCCAATTGTGTGCATCGATACTCATGATATCAATCACTGGATTGTCTGTTCCAGAATCGAATATTTACAGACCGCCGTCATATAGCTGGTATATTGCTGAGTGCAGCGTTAAACAACAACCAAACTACAAATCATCCAATTAAAGAAATATATATTATAATACTTATATATCCTACTTTTCTAAATGTATCTGTCTTCAACTGAGTCAGATCCTTTAGAAGTGTTGCGTCACTGTCACCAAGGGATTTTATGATGGCTTCTGTGCAGCGAGTTATGGCGATGGAGGCAGGTTCTTTTATTTTGCTTTTCACAGTTTCAATCCATGCCTGTTCACTGAAACAACATGTGTTTATGAATTGAGGATGATAGTTTCTTTTAGTGTAAGATTTAATAACCGATCGAATCATCTGTCTACGGCACATGTTGTCCACACTTACCTGAAACGAGGCGTCCATTCCTTCGAGAGAATCTCTACAAACGGATCTGCAAGGTCTTGATTCATATTAATGATGTATCCAATCCTAGTTGCTCTAAAGATTCCAAATCGGCGCACAGTTGCCTTGTAGGTGTTGCTATGCAACCCTCCCTGTCCTCTCTGTCTCTTGTTTACCTTATTAAGGCATGTCACAATATTAAAATGATGTCAAAGGTTTGAAACAAATATTACATGCTTTCATTGTATTTTAACTTATTCGCAAAGCAGCAACCTTCTACTAATAACCGAACTGCTTTATGGTGCCTTTAAACTTTAGGTTTTGGTTTGGTTTGTTATTAACGCCGCACTCAGCAATATTCCAGCTATATGACGGCGGTCTGTAAATAATCGAGTCTGGACCAGACAATCCAGTGATTAATATCATGAGCATCGATCCACACAATTGGGATACGATGACATGCATCAACCAAGTCAGCGAGCCTGACCACCCGATCCCGTTAGTCGCCTTTTACGACAAGCATAGTCACCTTTTACGGCAAGCATGGTCACCTTTTACGGCAAGCATGGGTTGCTAAAGACCTATGCTACCCGGAATCTTCACGGGTTTTAAACTTTAGGATGAAATACAGTAACTGCATAAAGCAAATACAATACAGTGTTCTTCTGTGCAACTACATTCATGATATGACTTACATTCCGAAAACTCTCACATCTCAACATTTATTACTTTAACCATGTAAGATGTGTCTTCTTAAGATCAAATAAATATAACCAATGTGAAAACGTTTGCTTCATACATTGATGAGTGTTCAATTTCCCTTCCATCACGACATGTATTGTGAATGTTGTATATATTTCATTTAGGTGTCTTTTGTTTGATGTCGATAGCTCAGATACCAGAATGCTAAGCAGACCTACCGGTCTTGCCCACAATTCAACTGTGGGGTTTGCCCATCTTATCGCTTCCTGTGTTGCTTCATCAAGAGCTGCATCCAGGACGGCAAACCATGACGACTGCAGGTGGGAGTCTAACTCCCTTAGTATTAATTGTCCTTCTTTTTGTAATGTGTCAAGATGACATTTCAGCTCTTCCTTAAGGGCCTGAATTAAGAGATAAGAAATATGTATATGTACTTATATTTACCTTGTCTGCTCGACGTCAGTTTGACATCTATTGTTTCCAAAACCTATTGATAACATACTTGCTTTATCTTTGGCACAAGGGAATATTGGTGGACCTGAATCTAGTTCAAGTTGGTTTGGTTTGTTGTTTTACGCCGCACTCAGCAATATTCCATCTATATGACGGCGGTCTGAAAATAATCGAGTCTGGACCAGACAATCCAGTGATTGACATCAAGAGCATCGATCCACGCCATTGGGATCGATGATATGCATCAACCAAGTATGCGAGCCTGACCACCCGATCACGTAAGTCCTCTTTAACGACAAGCATAGTCGCCTTCTACGGCAAGCGTGGGTTGCTGAAGATCTATTCTACCCCGGATCATCACGGGTCGAATCTAGTTCAAGAGCCAGCTAAATCCATCGCTCACATTTAAGCCAGTTTTGCTTTATTACTATGTCACCTTCGTGTGGGAGTAAATGTTGAAACTGACGGTTCACTACTTTAGTGAAAACCAGGAGGATGGATACGGTGCTGACAAACCAAGATATCTGGAACTCGAACTCGAGATGTGTGGGGCCTGGCACATCTAAGGAATGGAACTGTATGACGAACTGCAGCGCCATAGACGGCAAGGGACATCTTTGCCCTTCACACACATGACAAAATTGTGTCTCCATTTACTTGTTGTTGAGAACAAAGTTTGGGCTGTTTCTGTTGCGTGCTTCTGAACTTCGGCGACATTTTTCGACCATAACTGCTGCCATGTAATATTTTTATTCATTTATAAGTAGTAGAATTATAGTATCACAGAATAGTATAACTAACCTTCCTTCCTCTTTTGGAATTGATCAGATACATCAGTATACCATCTATGATTGCCTGGAAATCATTTTGCAGAGACATCCCGTGTTTTTTCTGCTTTTCCCAAACTAGCTCCTGCAGATAGGTTCTTAAACCGGGGATTTCGGTATCTTCTGTTGACAGAAACACCTGCAATAGTAGGGAAGTATAAAGCATTTTAACGAAACGCCTGTAATACAGAATTTAATCTCTATTGTCATGATGGTGTGAGTAAATGAGTTGGGCTTAATGTCACATTGTTTGACGCTCGAACAAAAGAATTCAGCATCTACGAATGAAAGAGAGGATTTGGGGGCATGGGGAACACCACTAATGGACTTAACGCATTTTACCCATGTCGGGAATCGAACACTGTCCATCTTGTTTACTTTCTGGTTAGTAAGGATAAGATACATAGATAAAGAACTTCTATATTACATTTAGGAGTGACGTTTTGGCAGAGGTCGCTCCTAATTGTAATAACGAAGTTGTTCATCCTTAAATCTTATCCTGACTACGTACTTCAACTTCTAAATGCCTCTAAAAGACGTTACTCACTGGGGGCTTGTCGTCATCGTCGTCGTCACAAGTGAGAAGGTTGCTTAGATTGATATAGTCACTGGAACTGACACAAAACACCTTCAGGTCATGGGGATAGTCTTGATCATGAGGAGTGTACTGGAATTAAATAGAATGAGTGGGTAAGGTTTTATGTGACTTTGAACAGAATTACAGTTGTGAAGCTGTCTACGTTTGGGCACAATGGAAAGCTCAGCTGTCTTGTCATTAGTTTTCGTATACACGTGAACGAAAAGAGCATAAGTCCCTATGTAAGAGAATGGTAGAACTATGCCTGGAATCTCTGCATATAAGAATATATGTCTTCTTCTAATAGTTTATTTCTAATCAGCTCTTTTCGAAATAAACACAGTAGATTAGTCATTTTATACGCTGCCCTAGGACAGGAACTCTTTCTTAAAATTATGTAATTAATGGTACTTTTGTGTCACAACTGATCTTTCTTTAATAATATTAATTCTCACCGGGCTTGATATTTTATGCAGAATATTATTCCTGACAAACTCGTTCCTTTTAACAGCACACGTTGATGTTTTCTCTCTCTTTAACTGGTCTATTGCCGCATGAAGACGTTGTTGCTAAAATAATGTAAAATCATTAACTTCTGTATGTATGAACTATTTCAACATAGCAATTCAATTATCGTTTCTTTCTTTGAATTACATGATATTACTTTTAACAAGAACGCAGTTATATAATGATTCTCAGGTTTCTAAGATGAAAACTAATAATGAATTTGTACACAAACTGGAATGTAAAAGATTATGAAGAAACACAACCAGGGATTGGGATCCTTGCAGTTTTGAGTTATAACGTTTGTTCCCGTGCTTTTTCAGGTGAATAATTTACTTGCATATGGGTTGCCTGCACCGGTGGTGCAGGATACGCTCACCTTTTCGCGAACACCTAGTGTCATCAGTATAGCGATTCATAGTCGGCATCGTATAATGGAACGATTATGGATCCTTGGTCACTTTAATTTGAGAGTGATTTTTTATACAAATGAATGCAAAAAGACAAACCTGCTGGATAAGAGAGTTTTCTTGACTTTCACTACTGCAATCCACCTGAAATTGACTCATTGTAGTTTAAAATATACATGAGTTTTATGAGATATATCGTATTATATAGTGCATTAACACGATGTACCAATGTGGGAAATCAAACCCATTTCTTAAGCCTGACGGTCTAGTGACATTGTACCACAGTTTCACCAAGTGTTATAAATAGTAACCATTAAATAGCCATGTTTGCACATTGAGTAAACGAGAATTCAAGTACACAACAAAATAGTTGAGTGCTTGCTTCCGTGCTTCGAAACTTACTCCCATTCAAATATTGAAAGAATGTCTTCTTGAGAGAAATATTTTCAATATATCTAGGACACAAAACGGCGGAACCTTGACTGAGTATTGAACAATTCAGTAACATCAACTGAGCTTGAGATTTGGCGCCATTTTGTCATGTACTGTGACGACTGCCTACTGCACAAACTAAACTTCCTTGGACTTCAACTATGGACATAATGACGACAAAGAAATCTTGCGTGTTGGACGTTATATGTACTTATATATATTGCGTGGGAATACTTTAAGGTTATTGCGTGGGAAAGTTGTGTCAAACTGGTTGGTGGGTGTTATTGCGTTTGTGGGGAATTCTAGAAATGGCGGTGATTATGTTTTCCAAGTACATGTACCTGTAAAGACTTTTATAGTTTTTACCTGTTTGTCCCTCTTTAAATCTGCTAACTTTTGTTGCAAGACTTGTTCCTCCTTCTTGTATCGCTGACCTTCGGCTGTCCACTCTGCTGCCTGTGGTAACTTCAGTTTTCTGCGAAAGAATATCCCCAATATGACACGAAGTCTACAAATACGTAAATCACTAAATGAGTGAGTTTGATTTAACGCTGCTTTGAACATTATGTAAGTAATATCATTTATGGGTAAGCCCAAACTGATGAGAGTATAATAATCTCCCATCGGTAATCAGATCGTGGTCTGTCTAAGTTCTAACAAGAATAACGTTGTACCTCAAAAGGGATGCAACATCCACACTTTTAAAAATATATTTAATATATTTTAAACTACAGTCTTAATTTACAGGATGACATTAAAACATCAGTATGTTTTATCCCTAAATAATATACAAGAGACACCAAAACATTAGACTAATTTCAAAAAGATGTTCTACTTACCTGATGACCTCTGACGGTTTGACATCATCTGCTTGTGTACAGGCTACAACTGTCTTAGTGTGGTCCATCAACAGCTGACGAAATAGTTTGTCCCCTAAAGTATGCTTGACTGTTTTGTTGTCAACAGCTCTCTGAATTTTCGTAACGACCAGCAGCACATCACAGGTTTGCATGTACTGCAAGAAGGCAATGTCATAATATGTATAAAATATACAATATACAAATTTGTCTGAAGACGTGGTAGTCACATTACACACACATCTGCGTTCCCTACCTTTCTGGCAACATTTTCTCTTGCTGGGTTTGAATCTCCGACTCCAGGGAGGTCAACCAAGTTAACGCCGCTCCGACACAGGCCTGAATCTGGTACTTTCAGAACCACTTGTTTCACTAATGGCCAGAACTGACAGTCATCATCAGTTGTCTCACTGTATGTGCTGATCTTGTCCTGTAGGTCTCTTGCCTAAACATATCATACAAGTACTGTAAATATTCCTGTGTTTTGTGTGCATATTTATAACGAGTTTATCCTTATGGACCCAGACAACTGCCCGAACACAACTTAAGCAATGCTGGAAATTGTTGATCCAGATTGAAGACTACATTGCGTTGGTAAACACGTCGTTCAAATTCGTCTCATAGATGTCCAGTGGGGTTGCAATTAGGTCTTAATAAGTCATATAGCTAATCACTATCACTGAAACTACAAGTTATTGTTCCACTACATACTGCTTGTAGCGCTTTGGCCATTCGAGAAATAATCTCGATTCGTAACATAACATGATTTGCACATTCACTAAATTTCAGTGGGATTAATTCTTTGTATACTCTTAATGATCATCTCATTTAATCCTATAACATTTTGTCTGACGGCCTGAACGGTCTCTCGCCTGTTAATGTCTTCCTGGAACATACATTGGCATCTCCTGTTCGCCTATTCAAAATTAGACCCCTGAAGATCCGAGGTAGAATTGGTTTTCAGCAACCCATGCTTGTCGTAAAAGGCGACTATGCTTGTCGTAGGAGGCGACCAACGGGAACGGGTGGTCAGACTCGCTGACTTGGGTTGATGTATGTCATGGATCCAAATTGCGTGAATAGATGCTCATGATGTCATTCACTGGATTGTCTGGTCCAGACTCGATTGTCTTTACAGACCGCCGTCATATAGCTGGAATATTGCTGAGTGCGGTGTTAAACAACAACCAACAAACAAACCAACTATTAAAAATTAGAAATCTGAATCTGAATCTGAAATCTGAAAACGATATCTTAAAACGATATGAACTGTTCCTTGTGTTCTCCCGTTGTTGTCATAATTTGCCCTTTTTCAGTACTCAGTACAAAAATGATACTCACACACGAGTCACTCAGTTTCGGGACAGTTCCAAGCAGTTTCGCTGTTTCAGTATCATCATCTAACAGGGTATCGAGGTTTCTAAGCTCAAAGTCACCATACACTGCAGCAACCTTTGCATGAGCTTCATCGTACACTTCAGCATCCTCATCGTTGTCACCATCATTCTGTCCCATGTCACCCTTTAAAACATTGAGTTCTTTCCTCCATTCCTAAATCAACAAAGGATTAAATCAATCGTTGATTGAAATACTGATGAAACTTGGTTGTTTGTATACTATGTTGTAGTTTAATGATACATGCTAACATTATTTGAATGGCTTCCTAATCCAGTTGTTTAAGAAACTACATTTAATTTGACACAATGTTCACGAATCGCCATAAAGAAAAGATCAAATCAAATCCGATAATTAATCCCGCACCTGCGGACAACCCACAATTAACGACAGGCCAAGTACACTACGTAATTGCACTAAATATCCACATCTATTCACTACATCTTAACAAATAAAGTCAAAAGAGAATCATTCTACTCCCGTGTGTATCATACTGCTTTCAGAAACGAGTGTAGGTTTCTTGCATTTCCAGAGCGAGAGCGAGGGTAGTACATGTCGGTCACGAATTACCTATTATTCCTTAATCCTTATGAGCTCCCCTTTTGAAAGAATGCACTGATCTCAACAACCGATTTAGAAAACCACAATGAATGATTGTCGAATGACGTCAACAGTCTTCAGCTATGTTGCCGTTTCTTACGTGGTGTCATTCCATACTATAAGGGTAACGCTATTTTTCAGAGCATTATCATTTGCAGAAAGCTGAGGTCTTCCATTAACTGCCCGACAAAGGAGGGCAGTTGAAAAGACCGAGGGCTTCTGCAAATGATAATGCCCTGAAAAATAGTGTTACCGTTATTTTAGCTAAAATGGATTGAATTTGTTATCAAATAAAAAGAAACAACAATATCGATTTTGAAACATTTACTGCAATCAACACAAATGTCACTGACCCACTTTTACAAATATGGAAACGTCATAGAACAAACAAAATGAAGTCACTATTGAACGTTACGTCACCTATACCTATTCTATGACGTAACCTAACAACGGGCATGATAATTGCCCGTCGTCAAGTAATATGAGGGCATTATCAAGTTACAGTGGCCCGCTCATTTCTGATAACATGCGGGCGTTTTTATCATAATTCTATCCATTTTAGCTATAATTCACAATAACATTCGAGTGTCGACAACAATGTCGTACGGATGATGTAAACAATATACTGGTGCGCTTGATATTTGCCCTAGGGAACATTCATGTATGATATATATGAACTCTGTTATTTCTAACCTGTTGGTTAGAAGTGAAGTTATTCCACATGCCACATACTTACTGCATATCAAAATTCAAAATGACACATGCACGAATTGCCGGATAATGAATGAAAAGGATAACCTTCATCGGCATTCTTTGTCCATTATTGTCGACAAGTACATTTTAGTAAGGTGAGCTACAAGGTTAAATGTCTGATACCTCTGCAGTGAGAAACTCAATGTCCGCTTCAAAATCAGAGCTTGTTTTGTTTTCTTCTATTTTTATGACATTCGATGTACATGCTCTTCCCATTCCAGCCGTAGGCAACAAGGACGGCTGATCCAACAGGGCGTTCAACAGGGAGGACTTGCCTGCCCCAGTGTCTCCATATACAGCTACTGTAATTTCTGGAGGATCACCATGTTGCCTTATCTTCTCAAGATCCTTTCTGAACAAATGTTTACAGAGAAAAATAAAACAGTGGTAATATTACCATGCTTGTAAGGTAATAAGCCATTCTCCAGTTTTGTGAAATAAGTCTGTTTATAGTGACATCACTTTGCAAAACAACGTGACGGCGGGCAATCCGTCAATACAAACCGCTGTCAAACTTTTGACGTGCATGACAGTTTATCGACCGCTATTCGAATGTTTACGGAAAGAGGAGACGAAGATGCTTCGATACCACGGTTGCTATGGCTTGTGAAAGTCAGATAACAGGTAGACCCTCTCCGTGGTCTAGTGGCAGAGCGTCCACCCGGAGAGTGGGAGGTCCGGGGTTCGATCCCCGGCTGCGTCATACCAAAAGACGTTAAAAGATGGTACTTGTTGTTACCTTGTCTGGCGCTCGGCATTAAGGGGCTAAAACAAGGACTGATCGGCTCGGTGTCAGTGTGGGGTATTCATGTTAAACTGCGGCATGGTATCTCAGTGGGCTAGCACTATAAATCGGCATCAGTCCGGACGAGTACAAGCAGCCACACCACCATGACCACACACACGTGAATGCACGTCGCTATATAAGTGCAACAATCTTGGATGCAACGTTAAACCCCATTTCACCTCACCAGATAACAGGTACAAAGATCGCCAGGAGATGTAAAATGTCAACGTGAGAAGTATTTGGGGTGGGCGAGGGCCTGTGGTTATGACTTGAACATATTTTATTGCGAAAACTCAAATTGATTAGGCACTTGTGACACACTTACGAGGCCTTGTTTAGATTTAGAAGTAGTTTCACCAAGTCATGGCGATATTTTCTGAGGTACCCGTTACAAATCAAATATTCTTGAGTGACCCTTTAGTTTCTTTTTTGCCGTGTAGACCTGGTTTTTGGTATTGTGAGCAACAAACTTAACAAAGACCTGTTCGGCCATTTATAATCTTGCGGATAACATGCGAGCAATCAATATCTACATCAGCGAACAAGCAATAGTCTCGAGAGAGATCTAGACATGTAGACGCAAAGCTTCCTTCTGTGATGACCAAGGCTTAACTGTGTGACACATTATTCCAATGTCCTTGTAAAAGGTAAGGGTCACAGTTAATGTTAATGTCTGAGAGTGTTTTATACGTGTACCTTACATTAGAAACATCCGATAAATCAGAGTTGACAGGCAAATCCAAGCAGGCAACACACTCGCACAAAGTGACAAATTCGTGACGAGTGTACCCTGTAAAAGTCACGCCATGATCCTTTAAATACACCTTCAACTGTGATACGGTCTTAGATGAGAACATAGTTGAAATTGTCTTGAAATCACAAAGGTAGAACACGAATAAACAATATCGTCTGTCGACAAACGATGTCAGCTCGGTAATCTGACAGCTCTTTTCATATGTTGTCAAGCCCGCGATCACGTGTCATAAGGGGCAGATAACTCTAAGCTTCAAAACTGGAAAATGGCTTAATCAGAACACTCCAGTGATGTGTGGATTTACCATTTTACTTATTTTTATCAGCAACTCCAAAAGATCACGTAATTTAACAATCATTACTAACAACCACTCATCACTTATTCAATGAAAACAATGAGATAAAGCCATACCGTAACGTTAATCCCGTCGGCCATTTTGACGTCGTATATGTTTATACAATCACACCGCTTGTACTTAATGCTATAGATTTATACTCACCCATACTAAAAACACAAATGAGTATAATTCAATGAAGGTTTCTTGTTGTGACACACTGACTCTGTCTAAAAACAAGGTATTATTGAGGACTGAGCAATACCTTGCCTTCTGTACAAGTGTACAGTCTCCTTCTCTGTTTTCCTCAGATGTTGCGTTTCCAAGTAAATGCAAGATCTCCTCACATCTAAACAGAAACTGTATTTACACAGTACATTGACACCAATGTGCTCCTGGAAATGAAGATTAATGATGTTCACATTTGGCTCAAGTGAGTATCAATGTGACATATTATGCAGTTAGGTATGGACATGAGAGGTGAGATACTAACAGATTATATGTAGCTTATACTTTGTTACTATTCGACAATTGCTAACATTTATGAGAACAAAAGTAGGACGATACATTTAATGTATACGATTTACAGACGCAATAATTGTTTGGACGCGAGACTTACCGGGAGATGTGAGCACTCGACACAGGGGTGTTCATAATGCCAGGTCAGTCCAAGAGTTTACAAATCTGAAAGAAGCACGAACACATCAAGAATACCTGTACATACATGTACCAGATCGTGAGTGAAGTTTTCTAGTATTAATACTGACGATGAAAGTTTAAACTTTGCTTACTTTGAGAAAGATATACCTGATAAAACTATTTATACCCTCATGTGTTTCCGTATCGTAAATATTGTATATGCAGTGTGTATGCAGTATGATCACAATAGGCCACATGTGTGTTTTGTTTATATTCATAAAATATTTACGATGCAAAACCATGTTCAACTAATATTCTGCGGGATAGTTAAGCTTTAGCATTTATACATCTACACACATGCATGTATAGACGGAATTACGCTCATTCTTGTTATATAGCATACAAAGTCACAAGCTTCGTAAAAGTGGTATCTATCGAGAACGAGTGTTGAACTCTGTTTATTACCCGCGTTAAATATGTTCTCAAGTGTATACATATAGTATAATATATAGTAATAATTATATAAGTGGAGTAAGATTGAACACAGACTTTGATGAACGACAGGAGGGAGAGTCTGGCTGTGATGAATGACAAGAAGGAGAGTCTGACTGTGATGAAGGACAGGAAGGAGAGTCTGACTGTGATGAAGGACAGGAAGGAGATTCTGACTGTGATGAAGGACAGGAAGGAGAGTGTGACTGTGATGAAGGACAGGAGGGAGAGTCTGACTGTGATGAACGACAGGAGGGAGAGTCTGGCTGTGATGAATGGCAAGAAGGAGAGTCTGACTGTGATGAAGGACAGGAAGGAGAGTCTGACTGTGATGAAGGACAGGAAGGAGATTCTGACTGTGATGAAGGACAGGAAGGAGAGTGTGACTGTGATGAAGGACAGGGAGGAGAGTCTGACTGTGATGAAGGACAGGGAGGAGAGTCTGACTGTAATGAAGGACAGGAAGGAGAGCCTGACTGTGATGAAGGACGGGAAGGAGAGTCTGACTGTGATGAACAACAGGAGGGAGAGTGTGACTGTGATGAATGACAGGAAGGAGAGTCTGACTGTGATGAAGGACAGGAAGGAGAGTCTGACTGTGATGAAGGACAGGAAGGAGAGTCTGACTGTGATGAAGGACAGGAAGGAGAGTGTGACTGTGATGAATGACAGGAAGGAGAGTCTGACTGTGATGAAGGGCAGGAGGGAGAGTCTGACTGTGATGAACAACAGGAGGGAGAGTCTGACTGTGATGAAGGACAGGAAGGAGAGTCTGCCTGTGATGAAGGAGAGGAAGGAGAGTCTGACTGTGATGAAGGACAGGAAGGAGAGGCTGACTGTGATGAAGGACAGGAAGGAGAGTCTGACTGTGATGAAAGACAGGAAGGAGAGTCTGACTGTGATGAAGGACAGGAAGGGGAGTCTGACTCTGATGAAGGACAGGAAGGAGAGTCTGACTGTGATGAAGGACAGGTAGGAGAGTCTGACTGTGATGAATGATAGGAAGGAGAGTCTGACTGTGATGAAGGACAGGAAGGAGAGTCTGACTGTGATGAAGGACAGGAAGGAGAGTGTGACTGTGATGAATGACCGGAAGGAGAGTCTGACTGTGATGAAGGACAGGAAGGAGAGTCTGACTGTGATGAAGGACAGGAAGGAGAGTCTGACTGTGATGAAGGACAGGAAGGGGACTCTGACTGTGATGAAGGACAGGAAGGAGAGTCTGACTGTGATGAAGGACAGGAAGGAGTGTCTGACTGTGATGAATGATAGGAAGGAGAGTCTGACTGTGATGAAGGACATGAAGGAGAGTCTGACTGTGATGAAGAACAGGAAGGAGAGTGTGACTGTGATGAATGACAGGAGGGAGAGTGTGACTGTGATGAAGGACAGGAAGGAGAGTCTGACTGTGATGAAGGACAGGGAGGAGAGCCTGACTGTGATGAAGGACGGTAAGGAGAGTCGGACTGTGATGAAGGACAGGAAGGAGATTCTGACTGTGATGAAGGACAGGAAGGAGAGTGTGACTGTGATGAAGGACAGGAGGGAGAGTCTGACTGTGATGAACGACAGGAGGGAGAGTCTGGCTGTGATGAATGACAAGAAGGAGAGTCTGACTGTGATGAAGGACAGGAAGGAGAGTCTGACTGTGATGAAGGACAGGAAGGAGATTCTGACTGTGATGAAGGACAGGAAGGAGAGTGTGACTGTGATGAAGGACAGGGAGGAGAGTCTGACTGTGATGAAGGACAGGGAGGAGAGTCTGACTGTAATGAAGGACAGGAAGGAGAGCCTGACTGTGATGAAGGACGGGAAGGAGAGTCTGACTGTGATGAACAACAGGAGGGAGAGTGTGACTGTGATGAATGACAGGAAGGAGAGTCTGACTGTGATGAAGGACAGGAAGGAGAGTCTGACTGTGATGAAGGACAGGAAGGAGAGTCTGACTGTGATGAAGGACAGGAAGGAGAGTGTGACTGTGATGAATGACAGGAAGGAGAGTCTGACTGTGATGAAGGGCAGGAGGGAGAGTCTGACTGTGATGAACAACAGGAGGGAGAGTCTGACTGTGATGAAGGACAGGAAGGAGAGTCTGACTGTGATGAAAGACAGGAAGGAGAGTCTGACTGTGATGAAGGACAGGAAGGGGAGTCTGACTCTGATGAAGGACAGGAAGGAGAGTCTGACTGTGATGAAGGACAGGTAGGAGAGTCTGACTGTGATGAATGATAGGAAGGAGAGTCTGACTGTGATGAAGGACAGGAAGGAGAGTCTGACTGTGATGAAGGACAGGAAGGAGAGTGTGACTGTGATGAATGACCGGAAGGAGAGTCTGACTGTGATGAAGGACAGGAAGGAGAGTCTGACTGTGATGAAGGACAGGAAGGAGAGTCTGACTGTGATGAAGGACAGGAAGGGGACTCTGACTGTGATGAAGGACAGGAAGGAGAGTCTGACTGTGATGAAGGACAGGAAGGAGTGTCTGACTGTGATGAATGATAGGAAGGAGAGTCTGACTGTGATGAAGGACATGAAGGAGAGTCTGACTGTGATGAAGGACAGGAAGGAGAGTGTGACTGTGATGAATGACAGGAGGGAGAGTGTGACTGTGATGAAGGACAGGAAGGAGAGTCTGACTGTGATGAAGGACAGGGAGGAGAGCCTGACTGTGATGAAGGACGGCAAGGAGAGTCTGACTGTGATGAACAACAGGAGGGAGAGTGTGACTGTGATGAATGACAGGAAGGAGAGTCTGACTGTGATGAAGGACAGGAAGGAGAGTCTGACTGTGATGGATGATAGGAAGGAGAGTCTGTCTGAGATGAAGGACAGGAAGGAGAGTCTGCCTGTGATGAAGGACAGGAGGGAGAGTCTGACTGTGATGAAGGACAGGAAGGAGAGTCTGACTGTGATGAAGGACAGGAAGGAGAGACTGACTGTGATGAAGGACAGGAAGGAGAGTCTGACTGTGATGAAGGACAGGAAGGAGAGACTGACTGTGATGAAGGACAGGAAGGAGAGTCTGACTGTGATGATGGACAGGAAGGAGAGTCTGACTGTGATGAAGGACAGTAAGGAGAGACTGACTGTGATGAAGGACAGGAAGGAGAGTCTGACTGTGATGAAGGACAGGAAGGAGAGACTGACTGTGATGAATGACAGGAAGGAGAGACTGACTGTGATGAAGGACAGGAAGGAGAGTCTGACTGTGATGAAGGACAGGAAGGAGAGACTGACTGTGATGAAGGTCAGGAAGGAGAGTCTGACTGTGATGAAGGACAGGAAGGAGAGTCTGACTGTGATGAAGGACAGGAAGGAGAGTGTGACTGTGATGAATGACAGGAAGGAGAGTCTGACTGTGATGAAGGACAGGAGGGAGAGTCTGACTGTGATGAACAACAGGAGGGAGAGTCTGACTGTGATGAATGACAAGAAGGAGAGTCTGACTGTGATGAAGGACAGGAAGGAGAGTCAGACTCTGATGAATGACAAGAATGAGAGTCAGACTGTAATGAAGGACAGGGAGGAGAGTCTGGCTGTGATGAATGACAAGAATGAGAGTCTGACTGTGATGAAGGACAGGAAGGAGAGTCTGACTGTGATGAAGGACAGGGAGGAGAGCCTGACTGTGATGAAGGACAGGGAGGAGAGCCTGACTGTGATGAAGGACAGGGAGGAGAGCCTGACTATGATGAAGGACAGGTAGGAGAGTCTGACTGTGATGAATGACAAGAATGAGAGTCTGACTGTGATGAAGGACAGGTAGGAGAGTCTGACTGTGATGAAGGACAGGAAGGAGAGTCTGACTGTGATGAAGGACAGGAAGGAGAGTCTGTCTGAGATGAAAGACAGGGAGGAGAGCCTGACTGTGATGAAGGACAGAAAGGAGAGTCTGGCTGTTGAAGGACAGGAGGGAGAGTCTGACTGTGATGAAGGACAGGGAGGAGAGTCTGACTGTGATGAAGGACAGGGAGGAGAGTCTGACTGTGATGAAGGACAGGGAGGAGAGTCAGACTGTAATGAAGGACAGGAGGGAGAGCCTGACTGTGATGAAGGACAGGGAGGAGAGTCTGACTGTGATGAAGGACAGGAAGGAGAGTCTGACTGTGATGAAGGACAGGAAGGAGATTCTGACTGTGATGAGTGACAGGAAGGAGAGTCTGACTGTGATGAATGACAAGAATGAGAGTCTGACTGTGATGAATGATAGGAAGGAGAGTCTGACTGTGATGAATGACAGGAGAAAGAGTCTGACTGTGATGAAGGACAGGAGGGAGAGTCTGACTGTGATGAACGACAGGAGGGAGAGTCTGACTTTGATGAATGACAGGAAGGAGAGTCTGACTGTGATGAAGGACAGGAAGGAGAGTGTGACTGTGATGAAGGACAGGAAGGAGAGTCTGACTGTGATGAATGACAGGAAGGAGAGTCTGACTGTGATGAAGGACAGGAAGGAGAGTCTGACTGTGATGAAGGACAGGAAGGAGAGTCTGACTGTGATGAAGGACAGGGAGGAATGTCTGACTGTGATGAAGGACAGGAGGGAGAGTCTG